AATTAGTTCGACCCTTGACGATTTACTAGTGTTTTCTGTGCTATATTTTTATAACTGAATGTGCCACTGACATGGCAAGAGTTAACGATAAATATACCATATATGTAATTGTACTAAGTAATTTTTTTGAACAAAAAATAGCAGACTCTGCAGTTTGGGGTAGACGTAGGGTTCCTAACAAGCCTGGTCTAATCGAATCCTTAGATACTTATGCTCAAGCTACCCATAAATATTCGTCAATCGGGCCTGTGGTACAATGGTTGGTCCCAAAGCCTTAAAGATTGGGTGAGGCGGAAGTCAGGATTTCAAGTTCTACCATCACCGTAAATTTTACTAACTTGTGACCTAATGGTCGCACGTCTCATCTGAGGGGTGGAATGTTCACCAGTCTGAGAAATCTCAATTACTAACATCTAATTTTACTAATTTCCTAACCATTATTTTTATCTAAAAAAAAAACAAAAAAAGCTACCCATAAATATTCAAGTTCAAATTAAACTTGAATAGTTATATAATAAAACTTAAAATAGTTTAAATCATGTTTAAACTCACAGGTATTTAATTAAACTTAAATAAGGGATTACTTGAGTTTGAATTTGAGTATTTTTTTTTTATAATTTTAAATTATTTTAATAATTAATTAATCATTTAATCATAAATTTCTTTTGCATTTTTTTATATTATGAAAAGATTAAAAAGAGAATTATATTAAGTTTAGTAATAACAAAAAAAAGAGAAAAGTGTATCAATCGAATTTTTTAAAAATTAAAAAGATAAATATTTTAAAATTATATTATTTTAATAAATTTTTATTAAAAAAACTTAAAATAATTTATTTTAAAGTAGAGCAGTGCTAGGGCACTCGCTTTTTGCACTCTCCAACTAGCACTTCCCCTTTCATTGGGCCACGTAAGCTTCTTTAAAGCTTTCAGGCAACCCTTGCAAATCAAAATAACGTGGCCCAATAAAAGGGAAAGTGTTGGTCGGAGAGTGTGCAGGAGGCGAGTGCCCTAGCATTGCTTTTTAAAGTAAGAATGAGATTATTTTGATATTTTTTTATTATATTTTATTAAAATAATATTATTTTATAGTATTTTTCTTTCAAATTTTTTTAAGATTCAATTAACAAGTATTCTATTAAAAAATACCATAAATTTTGTTTAAATATTTTTTTTACAGTTCTAAAAAACTCAAAATAAGTAAATTATTTAAGTTATGTTTTTAGTTTTTGTAGAATTATAAGTTATTATATATTTAAATTATAATAAATATAATATAATTTTAAATTTTAAATTAAGTATTTATGAATAATTTATAAGTAATCATACAAACTCCATTTTAAATTTATTTTTTTATCGAAATCAAATTTTTAATTAAATAAGTTGAGTCTGAATCAAATTTGACTCAAATAATATATAAATTACCCTAAAATTGCCTTACTAAACAATTTTAAATAAAACCATGAAACGCAAAATTAGATAAAGGCCTTACGTGTTGAACGAAATCCTAGTTCCACCGCTGGTTTTCTTAATTATTTTATTTGAAGATTAAATAAATAAAAATATAATTTATATATAATAATGGATCACAAAAATAAACATTTTGATCGTTCTTAACGGTACATGCTCTAGCAATCACTAACAGAGTCCAGCTGTCTTCCCCCACTAAATTGACATGCATCATTGTGAAAGGGACGGCAAAGACTTTTGAGAGTCATCCTTTCAAAAGTCAGGAACAGAAATAGTTGGGACAAAAGACTTTTGAGGAGTTTATCCTTATCCTTTTAAAAGTCAGGAACAGAAATAGTGGAAACTTTA